AGTAATAATATATATAATTTTCTTCACTTTCTCAATATTTTCATCGGTTGTTGATGTGATGGGGCGTACAGGGCGAGCATCATCATTCAAATCTTCTCGACATTCTGTGAAGAGCTTGTACCACTTGTAAATATTTTTCTGACTCAGAGTACAATCACCGTATGCCATTGTCAACATTTCAACTGTTTTTGAGGACTCAATTCATTTTTTGTACAAATTTGATGCAAATTATTTGATCATTTTTTCCCTAGCAGAAAATCGCCTAATACAACAAACTGAACATGCTTCGAGTAAACAGCGGACCAATTGGTGTAGGAGCTTTATCTCTGCCCATCGATCACATTTCATATTTTTTATTTCTGATGTTTCGAAGGCATCTGGCATCTGGTCTAAGAATCCAAATAAATGAATCAGTTTCCTTGAAACGAGTTATTTTAATCTGCTTAGTTTGTGATGCACTGTTTGGAACCTTTGGTGTAGTAATGAATATTACTGAATTTTTTTCCCAACACCAAATCGTTATTTTTAACACCTAACATAGGGTTAGCTTTGCAAGTTTTTCCAGTTTAATCTTCCTCTTGAAGATGATCACTTGGTGATCGAAACACGGGTCGTGGTGTTAAAAATAACGATTTGGTGTTGGGAAAAACTCCAGTAATATTCACTGCTTAGTTTGACCAACATAATTTTTGCCGCAATCCTTACAACCTATTTCGTTAATCCCACAATGTTTCTTTTCCGTTTTCCTGTCTATCAGGTTGCCCAACACGTGTTGAAGTGTACGAGCAGTTTTGAAGACCACCTTCTTATTGTTTAATTTCTATGCAGTTTTTGTGAATGCCCATTAAATATAAACACTGGGTAAATATGTTTAATAATTCTTTAGCAACGCAAAGTAATAACACAAAGGAGTATTTCCTGTAGTTGATAAAATAATTATCACTTGTGCTCTGCTTCTTTGTAAAGAGTTCAGACAAATGCCAAAGAGAGTGCATTTTGAAGAAAGTTTGACGTTTTAAAGTATTTTCACAGGGCAACTAAAATTTCAGTCACTGCATGTGGTGAGAGAGAAACAAACGGTAAAATTGTAGTGAAGTTAATTGTTTTTTTAGTTTAGTATAAAAAAAATTGATTTTAGTTCTTTTGGTTCCAGAGGTGAGCGGGAAATATCGATCGGGAGTTTCTAAAAATATAAAAAATCAACTGGGATATAGGATATTGGTGCAATGCTTAGGAATATATAGGATAATTGAATTTCTAAATATTGAATGAACATTTCGATAAAAAAATAGTTACTTAAAATAGGTTCCTTTTTATAAGATGTTATTCAACTGACAATGTTTCTATGTATGTATGTTTGGGACAAATCTTATCACATTGGGACAAATGCTTATCCCATTGAGCTAAAATTTTGTTTTTACGTTTAGTTTGGATGAATAGCATGGCTAAGTGAAGCCGTTCTACGTCCAACATGGCGGACCGTGCAAGCTGGCGAACTGTTTTTTTATGTACCCCATTATATGGGTATCAAATGAAAGAGTTTACTGAAAAGTTTATTTACGCACCCCCACGATACGGGTATTGAATGAATAAATGAAAGGGTTTTCTGAAAATAAAAACAATAACATGCCGTCACTCTAATTTCAATGTAATATGAAATGAAAGGGTTTGTTGAAAAGAATATGAAAAATTAAATGACGTCATACTAAATCAAATATGACAGAATATGTTTTTTTATTCGTTTCTATGATGTGGATATCAAATGAGAGAGTTCAAGGGAAAAGAGTCTTGAAAGTTGTTTTAATTGAAATCAAACCAAAAGAATTAAAGTTGATTTTTTGTTATCACTTGAAAATATTTCAAGTTGTAAAACTTTGCGACAGTTCAAGTGACTCTCTAGTTCTTAAAGCTTATGAGGTACCATGCAGAGACTCGAACTTGAATAGAGAATATTAGTTTTCTATGGGTGAAGATTGAATGCAGAAATTCATGTTTTTACAGTGTTTCAGTGTTTTTGCTTTATAATGTCTTCATTTTTCTTTCATAGACTCCTTGGTACGAATATTTGGACTATGATAAATTGAAAGTTGAACAACAAACCCATGTTCGTATTTGGCGAGTCAACAATTTTCGTGAAAAGACCAACGTTAACCAGCCTTTACTACAAGCTGGCAACAGGGTAGAGAGTAATGATCCAGTGGAACGGATTCTAAGGAGGTTGACATCCTATGATAGTCCAAAGCCACCACCTTCCATAATAATAAAGGCACCAGTAATACCCAAGATTGAGTTTGGAAGTAAAGAAGAAATGTTCAAGTCACTTGAACAGTGTTTCAGAATATTGAAACAATCTGCACATAACCACAATTTGAAATTATCTGAATATAAGGCATTAGATAGTGCCTACAAGGAATTGATACCACAGCTTTATCGGTCAGTTATGAATAAGGTTAAGAAGAAAGTACCTTGTAAGGGTCGGAACCAAACCGTCCATTGTTCCGGTGCTGCTGTAATTGTTCTGGAAGTCCAGGTAATATATATTTGTATACTTTCATTTCCAATAAACAAATATAAACAACTTATTTTCTAGGTTATTATGTAGTATGAGAAAATCATTGATTAGAATATGATACAAAAAGTATTGGATAATAGTTTCATTCACATTAGCAAATATTCAATGCAAATGATTATGGAAACAAATATTTTCTTAGTAAATACGAATATAATTACATTATCAGATATTTTTAGTACCTGGAATCCTAGAAGTTACTTTGAATCAATATATTTTGGCTTGTTTTACAAATACTATTATTATTTTCAGGAAGCCAGAGTGAATGAGAGACTTGAGCATCAAATTATTTTGAACCGAAATGCTTACGAGTCACTGTTGGCAGGTGCTTTGCAATCCGCCCCTTCGAATCTTTGTTCTGCTGCAGTTACAGTGCAACAAACTATCAAGTGAGATCTAGTATTCTTATATCACACAAAATAATTCAATTATGTCTCATACAATTTTCATTCAAGCACATTTGCATGTTACTTTTTGATATTCATATATTCGGAGTCAAATTGTGTATATAAAACAGTAGTACCACTATATATCTTAGTAGAAACGAATCCATTTTTTTAACATTATAAATAATACATTACTTTAAGATAAAAGTGGAACCTCTGACATAGAATTAAACCAATACCAGAACTTTAGCAATATTCTTGACGCGTATTTCTCCGCACAAGTTCGCAACATCAAGAGATCCTGAAAAACTGATCATAAAAGTGTCTTTTACAACATCACGTTAAGCATCCCCGAAGACAAGATGATAGAAACTTAAAAANAGACATTTCATATGAAATGAACTGTGAGGTATTCAACAAACAGTATGTTGGTCAGATGAGACAATCTATCAAAACTTGTTGAAAGAACACATATCATATTCAGAATCTGTGGACCAGAAAAAATTTCATACATAATGGCTTGAATTTCAGCCACATAATACATCAACATAGATTAAAATTTTTGAGAGCGGTGCATAATACTAGACTTTTGAAAGTGGAGAAGTAGCACCGTGTGGATATCAGGTTGAATATCAATAGGCAAAATTTGAGTACAAAACATTTTGACCATATTTACGATTTATCAATTTTAATCATTAGGATTTTTCATCTTAAACAATCTGAAAAAATAAAAAAATTGTAATGGAGAATTTTAGGTGTAGAAAGGGCAAACTTTTTAGTTTATCCCGATAAGTTATTTGTAATTCGAAGTATGTTTCACAAAGAAAAATGTTCTATTCATCAGTAACTTGTATTTAATAATTTTGCTAAAATATAACTCCGTCTTCTGAATTGTGAAAAATCTTAATGAATCTTGCAGGTTTTTCTGTGGTATGTTTTATTGTTAAACGTTTTCAATAGATGTCAAAGGGGTTATAAAATGTGACATATGTCAATGTTGTTGATTGTTTAGGGTTTAGTATAGTTCATCTCCTGATGATGCTAAATTGGTTGATGAAACGAGAATTGAGAAAAGTATTATATTTCTGGTGTGTGGGAGTATTTGTGTAGAATATATTACTCTCTGCTATTAGCAAAAATGATATTGTAAGTGATTTTATACAAATTGAAATGATGAAATTGGATTGGATATTTCACTCAAAAAATCAAACACTGAGTATAAGGTATATGAATTTTTTTTTATGAAGCCTCTCTTTTTCTTAGCTTTCTACTTTTAATATCAATATATGAAAAATGGAAAATTAATTCGTAAAGAAACAAAGAAAAGTACTTTCTGCTACGAGAAAATGTGCATGAGACACATTATTTGACTAAAATATCAATTGTGTACTGGTACTGAGGCAAAATTTCTGATATTATTAGAACTTGTTTTGATTCATTCAACCATTAATAACATAAATCGGCGGTTCAGCATCATTAGGAACTTGTGATTATTTTTCTGTTTCAGAGTTCTTCAAACACAAGTTCATTGCAATCCTGCAACTGCTGAATTGGGTGTTGAACTGTTTTATTACATTTTATCTCTTCTCGGTGATGAAATGAACTCTTACCCGCCTACAAAAACGTTATTGTCCACTTGTTTGGAAAAATTAGGACAGGTGAAGTATACAGATTTTGTAGTATTATTTATGTTATCATAATTTTCTATTTCAGTCTCATATTTGTGGTGTTGAATACGAAATGCCAAGGTTACTACAGAATATTCTGAGAGATTCAAAGTTGGCCCAATATTTGGCTCCACATTTCTCTCCAAGTGATGTTGGAACTTCCAGCTTGCTATTGATGTACTCTAATATTTGCAAATCAGTTGGGCAAAAATATGATGTAACATTTGCTATTCTCTCAAAGGTAAGTACAAAATATTAATTTTAGTCATCAACAAAAACGGCTATCTAGCCTTGGCCATAAAATCATCTGATGCAATTGAACAGTTTGAGTATTTATGTTCACCTTTTTTTTGGGTCTTTTCACCATCTGACAAATATAAAAATTGTAATTGAGAACTTTATTCAGGTGTAGGAAGGGCAAAATTATTAATTTACCTAGATACGTTGCTGCATAAATTCAAAGTATTTTTCACAAAATAAAATCTTCAAATTATCAGTAACTTGATCAAAAACAGCTAAGATATCTCATACACCTTAAAGTTTTTTATCAGTTTGGAAGATGATTATTTTTTCAGGAAGGAAGGTGAAAAAAATCCAAAAAAGATCAATAAAAAACTCTTGAATTCCCCCTCTATTATAAAAAATAAATGACTTTCAATCAATAGTTTTAGTATTGTAGAAAAATGTGTGAAGCTGGTTACTGTTGTTGAAGTTGAAAAGTTGTGATTTTATTCAGTGGTTAAATGGAATTGAATCATTTCTACCCGACAATATTTTTCTAGAGTTTACCATAAATCAAGTAATCAAATTGTAATTGAGAACTTTATTCAGGTGTAGAAAGGGCAAAATTATTAATTAACCTAGATAAGTTGCTGCATAAATTCAAAGTATTTTTCACAAAATAAAATCTTCTAATTATCAGTAACTTGTCGTGTTCAATAATCGGTGCCTGGGCGAAGGTAGCGGTTAACGTTGGGTTGACATTGTTGTGCATTATATTTTTTATAAGATTATTCCATAAAGAATTCGTCTACATGAATAGCATTTTACAAGTGTTGTTCATGACGAAGAATTTCAAGAACGAAGTTTTAATGATGAACGAGAACGGGAATGTTTCCTACTTATGTTTCGGTCGGTAGCCAAGCGGTTCGGCGTGGGTGCTTTGTTCACTCACTCGAATTGACTGCCATGTTGGTCGGTGGTTCAAGCCCTAGTCTGAACGATCGATCTTCACTTGCTATCATTCAACCCGTGTTAGGCATCACACGTTAAAAGGTAAGACCTCGTTAATAATTAATTTTTATTGTTGTTTTTATTTTATTTTTATTAAAATGTTATCAGTCAGTAATCAACTACTTACAGTTTGAGAAAATGTAATTTCTAATGGAGATGCACAGGCACTGCAGGAAATTTGTTAAAGTCTCCTGAGATCGGTGCCTGTGCGAAGGTAGCGATTAACGTTGGGTTGACATTGCTGTGCATTATATTTTTTATAAGATTATTCCATAAAAAATTCGTCTTCAGGAACATAACTTTTTCATTTTCAATTTGACAGTGTTTACAAAATTATGTCAACTGATAAATCAACAATACTTCAAGGCATAAACATAAAAGTCTTGTATTGATCCAGTAACTTGTATACCCTTCTTTAATCTATGTATCTAACATATAATGAAAATAGAGGCATATATTTCAACCGAACTTCCTTTTCTTCTGCAACATTCCTGATAGAATGTTTCATAATATTGATATGTTCAATTATTTTATGATGAACTGAATTTAATACTTCAGTTGTCATAGAAAAAAATTGCCCAATCCTCTCTAAACAGTTCATGTTAACGATTTCTGACATAAATAATTGCGTATGCGTGCGGGTATGTATTATATGTATTACTTACTAAAAACCTCAATTTTTTGTTTTCTGATTTCAGTTTGAAATAGAAAATTGGCTAAAAAAGAAACAACCAAAACTGAGCCACCGGTCTCAATTTATAGAGTTGATTGTAAAAGCATTAACGACCCTAGGATTTGAACCTGCAGTTGAAGCATTGACTTTACATGGACTGTATCGTAAACATTTGATGACAGTATTTGAATATCAGTTTCCAGAACATTATGGTGAGGTGTTGATACATCTTCTGAAAGCTAGTGGTGGCAGCCCTGAAAATAATCTGCTTTCAATATCAGTGTGGATGGACCTTTTGAACTCTTTGTCCCAACCTGTTGTTCTGAACATCAAAGGTCCACTCAGGTAAATGACTCTTTTATCATTTAACAGTGAAACTACTTTTATTCCAAGCAAACTTCTCCTGAAGTACGGTCATTTCAGAGCTCTTAATAGATTGAATTGAGGATATGTACAAAAGTTCCTTATAGGTTTCGGTACTGAGAAACTAGAAACCTTTACAGCTTATAACAGTCTGTAATTAAGTTATCGGGAAAGTCATAAAAGAGGTTTTCTTTTAGTTACAACTTCTATTCAATCAAAAAATTTTAAAAAGTCAAAAGAAAATTAAAAAATCTATTTGAAATTGTAGCCTCCTTACAACATACACTGTTGTGCCTCTTCTAGTCACCCATTATGAAGCTTTGAAGATATAGATATGAACAATGAGATTTTATTTCTCTGCTAGTCGATCATAAATGAGTGATTTCATCTTACCCCAAAAAAAAAATTATTTGATTTACATTCGGTGACAGTTAGCATGGGTTCCATATACTTCTACAAAAATCTGAAGGTGTCTCTTCTGGAAGTTCTGGAAGTACTTCTTCGAGGAATGTTGAATAATTTGTTTCTTTCAGCCTATTCGGAAATATATAAGGGCCAATGATGGAGTGTCCTACAATCTCTACTCATAAATTTGTTAACTGAGCTCTAATTAAAATGTACTGGGGAAAATCTTGATTTAATTCCTGTAATTTCTTCAATCTATATGGGTGAAAAAAAAAATATTGCTACTTCATTTCTTTTAAATTCCAGAAAAACACTGCAGCCTCATGAGCTTCTTTCGTATTTTGTGTCTTCTCATGACACCCATTTGATCAACTTCGTTCCTCCTACTGGTTTATACAGGTTTGAATGTACAGAAAATGTGGGAACTTTCAAAAGGAACGAAGACAGTAATTCATTTGAAAATGAACTGTTTACAAAGATGTGTAGATCATGCATAGAAGTTACTTTAAAATACAAACTTTTGAAATACCAAACTTTGCACAACATGTGAAAGATTTTTCAGAGAGATTTTCATATGATCTCTAGCTGGCAGCCATGCTGGTGCTTTCAATCTCCTTCTGAAGGGAAAAACTTCAATGGTCATCATTGAAACGGGTAACGACACGTTGCAGTCTATTGAAAACTACTTCTTGGAAAATAAGTTGATCTTGAATATGCAGAAGACAAATTGTATGCCCGTCAAAACTAATTATTCTTGGAAAACCCTCTGATCAATCACCTTAAATAATGAAACATTTAAATGTAGTACAACAGTTGAATCACCTTAATGAAACATTTGAATGTAGTACAACAGTTGAATTCCTAGGTATTTATGTAGATGATACGTTGAGCAGGTCAGATCAGATTCATCACCTATACACTAAACTGTCCTCGATCACCTATGTCATAAGGGCTCTGAAAAAAGAATTTGACATTTAGGTAATGAAGGTTATTTGTTATACAAACTTTTATTCAGCTGTCAAATAAGGTACAGTAAGTATGGGGATCATGTTACGACCTCAATAAAATTTTATTTCAGTAAAAGTAAATCAAGTTCATGTTCGGCTTCAGTAGCTGGCACGTGCAGGAGTGTCTTAAAAAAAAAAAGAATTTTCACCGTTCCTGCTATGTATATATGTGAAACATCAAAGTCTCTAGTTAACCATCGGGCAAAGGTTCTGGATTGTACAAGAAAATATAGTTATTATACCCTGTTCAAGGAAGATTTCACTTATCCCATTCACAAAAAGTCACTTCATGAATGTGGTGGCCATATACAGTCCCTGATTTTCTTAAAAAATGAATTAATCATTTTCATATACTAGTCTTTTTTGTATGTTGTACGTATTATTTTTATTTAAGTAGTGTTATGTATGCATGAGAACTTTTTGGAAGTTTTCTTGTAGAAATTTATGTAAAATTTTATGATGTATACGTACATCTTTCTGTTGAAAAATCTCTCTCTCTCTCTTTCTCTCTCTCTTTTACGGAGAAAATGAATCAAAAGTTATGTTGAAATAAAATCTATTGTTTATTTTTCACTATAAGATGTTCCAATAGCTTCCTTTTTCAATTTTACTTAGGTTTTCTGTTATATTCGTATTACATTGAGTTTCAAGATGAAAAATTTATTTTGGCTTGTAATTCCAGAGATCAACTCAGGCAATATGCTCAAAACCAAAAGATTTTGCAACATCAAGAGTTGCTGGATACATCGGAACTGTTGTCAAGACATTTCACACAAGAAAGACTACAATATGGTCTCTATGGACTATATCCAAAGTGTCGCAACTATATGGACGTGTTTGTAATTTTTTTTGGTATAATAGGGCACGGTGTTACTGTGAGCATGCTCAATACACATCAAGGTGAGCTTAATATTTTCTGTGATTAATTTTGTCTCATATTTTGTTTTATCTCCAAAGACAACTTGTATAATATCTTACACATACATGTAATTTTGAGATCAGTCACCTACAGGTTTAACCATAGGAAACTCAACATTAGTAAGATAATTGATGGATGTAGCCGTTACTATGTGGTAGGAGATCATGATGAAAAGAGAAATGAAAATTTCTATGTTTTTTACAAACTTAAACAATAGTTTGAAAATGTCCATATAGGACGAAACTGCAGTAACGTTAGTTACAAATAAAAGTGGTAAAAAACATAGAAATTTTCATTTATCTTTTTTAAGTAAGATAATTGTATTTCAATAATTCCGTCACCCATTTTTAGAATAGGAACACTGATCAATCTTACAATTCTTTCAGTTTTCAACTATCGTTGAGTTGAATGCTGTTACTCCCTCTAAACTTTTGCATTCTGTATTTTGTGAAATATAATTCTTGCGTTATTTATTTCAAGTTCACTGAGTCCCTTCAGTATTAGCCCATTTTACAAATAAATTGGTTGTTTGTAGCGGTTTTCATGATAAGGTTATTTGTTTTTCATTTTCAGATTTTTTCTATAAATTCAGGTGCTCCTTTAGTAGCATTGATTGTTGGAAAATCCTCCTTTATGGGGCCATGTAAACGTGGTCCTAGTTATTTCTGTAGCTTATCTTGTACATAGACTTTGACAAATTCATACAAATTGACCAGAACATGTTTTCATAAAGTGATAAAAACAATAGAAAGTTAGAAAAGAAGTTCAAAACACTTCATTACATTAAAAACAAAAACACGGCCGGATATGATGATATTCAGTATCATTGCCGTGAAAGTCTAAACCATTTTGAATGATGATATTTCCGTTAAGATTTTTCTGAATTTACCACTCAATGTTCTAGAAATTTTGGTCGCCCTTATTCATACCTCATTCAGAACTGGCTTATTTCCTTCTTCCCTAAAGACTTAATACTGATTTTAGCAAAAATTACTGAGAAATTAGTCAAAGTACGTTTAGATGAATTCTTAATACAAATGATGCTATGTTCTCTTCTCTATATGAAATTTACTCTGAATTGAATGCTGGTGAAGTAGCCGTCGCAATTTTTTGCGATATTTCAAAGACGTTTGATTGCGTCAATCATAAAATTTTACTAAAAAAACTTGATAAAAATGGATGTAGAGGTGTTAACAAACACTTGGTTCGAATTGTACCTTCAAGGTCGGAGTCAAATGGTGAGGACAACGGAACTCTCGGAGAACAGGGCCATTGAATCTAGTGTACCACAGGGCTCCGTGTTAGGCCCTATTCTATTTATGCTATATATGAATGACATATCTGGTAGTTTCACTCTATTCGTGGATGATACTACAATATTGTGGAATAAAAAAAATCAGTGGAGCTAAATAAAATAATATTATCCGACTTGAAGAAGGTGACGAGTTGGTGCGATACAAATGCATCCAAAACGAGTATAATACGAGGGTTGCCTTTTATATTTCGGGATTAGAAAACAAAAACAAATAATAATCATCGAAAATCACTTTATTATTTTTCAAAATATTCCCTATAAAGATCTATACACTTTTGCATGCGTTTGAACCAATTGAATTTTCGAAGCACTTTTGCCACTTTGATTGAGGTATATGCATTCTGCATTCAGGTGTCGAAAAACGTTAACCTCTCAGTTTGTTTTTTATGTGCGGGAATAAAAAGAAGTCAAGACTATACGGCGGATGACTTATCAAATCGATGTTTTTGGTGCTCAAATATGCAGTTGTTTGAGCAGATATGTGAGAGCTCGCATTGTCGTGGTGAAGAGTGATCCGTCTTCGGCGGTTGGTTTTCCTGATTTCTTGGAATACAACTGGCAAACAAATGGTTCTGTACCAATCAGAATTGACAGTTCTGCGTTGTTCTAGTGGTACGGTGGCGATATGTCCAGTTTTTCCGAAAAAAATGGGCAACCATTTGCTTGGAAGTGCTTCGTGTGCGAACAACTTTTGTTGGATTTGAGAAACACCCATACAGCGACCGCTGTTTACTTTCGGGATTATACGCATAAATCCACGATTTACACCTGTCACGGTGTCATAGACGTGTTTTGAAACACCGCGATCGTATTATTTGAACATTTTCTTCGACCAATCGACAAGAGTGTTTTTTGAGCGATTAACAAATTGTGTGGGATCCAACGCGAACAAATTTTTTTTACAGTCAAATGTTTATGCAATATTGAATGTATGCTGGTCCCACTAATGCCTAAGGTTGTCTCAATCTCACGATAGATCACATGACGATCTTGCAATATCAGTTCGCGCACAGCATCAATGGTTTTCGGGACAACAACTGATTTTTTACGACCTTCACGAAATTCGTCTTGGAGTGAATTACGACCACGATTGAATTCACCATACCATCGCCAAAAATTGAATTAAGTTCATTCATGCACTGTTGCTGAGTTAATCCACGTCGAAAGTTGTAAACAATAATCGCACGAAAATGTTCACGATTGAAGTCCATTTTTGAGCCTTGATGAAAATTTTAAGTTACTGTAAACAACACAAATAGTACGCGTATTTCAAAACGTACGTATAAGCTCAAAAATGTCCAACTTTACGATAGAGCTGTCAGTTGCCTGATTGCAACCTTACGGTTGCCAAATCCCGAAACATAAAAGGCAACCCTCGTGTCATTCAAATGTTCGCTTGATGAAATTTCAATAGACGCTGCCATATTACAAAATAAACACAAAATTTCTCAGTGTATTCATTGATAATGTTATGCAGTTAGAGTGGTTTCAAATAAGTTGGGTTTCCATATCACAAATACCGTTTACCATGCACTTATTGAATCTCGACTACTTTATGCAATACCTTTTTGGGGAGCATGCAACTCATCCCTTCTCCCTTCTGTATTGATATTACAGAAGAAGGCACTAAGATGTCTCTGTAAAGTAAAACCTAGAGAATCGTGCAGGAACTTGTTCACTGCCAATAAAATTTCAACAGTCATCGCACTTTTTATCTTAGAGACGGTTTGCCTTATTTATAAACATAAATCGAAGTTCAACTTTGCTTTTACTCCTTATGCTACTCGTAATAACAATAATTATACTTTTAATAGCCTGTAATATTACAAATTACACTATGGTGTTAACTACGGTCAATTGTTTTGAAAAGTAAATTAATTTTCAAAGTTTTTGGTGTAGTTATTTTTATTTTTTGTCAACACACTCAAAATTATGCAGTATTGTAACGAGAACTTAATATTCAATAATATCAAATCACAAAACATCAAAATAAAATAGGTAACAAACTCATTGATTTTCTGGAGATTTTCTTGTCCAAAATAATAAAGGATATATATGATAAAATCATATTGTGGGTTGAAAAGAACAATTTGAAACTCAACAAATCTAAAACTAACACTATATTGTTCAGCAGACGTGGTCAAAGGGATTCGAATGTGATACTATATGAAAATAGTGAAAAATCAATTTAGTCCTGTAGAAACTGTAAATATGCTAGGAATTGTTCTAGATAAAAAATTAATATGGAATCGACATATTGATACCTTATGTAATAAACTGAAGAAAAGCTGCTATTTTATTAGATTCATGTCAAATCACTGCAGCTTTTAGCTTTTAAATAGCTAAAAATTCTTACAGTTGTCTGCACCTACATACTAGAGGCTAGTGCATGCGTTTTAAAAAATAAATCCAATTTTTAGTCCTCTCTTCCAAATCATAACCACAATACTCGTTCAAAAGATCTAATCGAACCAAACGCTTGAAGAACTTTTTTGTATGAAAAAAGCGTGGAGTACAGTGGGTGTAAATTATACAATATGCTTCCAATTGCTCTTAAGAATACCCCAAATATTAATGTGTTCAAAAGTCAGCTGAAAAAAATGATACTCCAAGAATTCACCAATCAACTAACCTGAGATCTTGAGCTTTAGCACATTTGGTTAAAGTGTTTCCTTTTAATACTTGAGAAATTGTGTGTTGATTATATTTTATTGACTTTTTTATGGTCTATAACTAGTTACATTTATATTTTTATATTTAAATGTTAGTTTTATTACTTATGGATGCTTATCACTGTTTGTGTTATTATGTTATTTATATTATTTTGACTGACTTATATGGTTACATATTATTTGGACTGACTTTTATAATATGGTTACATGAAGTTATTTACATTTATATGTTTTTACATTTACTTTTACTTTTATAATTGACATTTTCTTTGTTTATTGTGCATTGATTGCTGTCAACTGTACTTTTCAACTAAAGAAATAAATATTATTATTATTAATTATTATTATTATATATTTTCGTTTATGTAATTACAGGGCTTTTGGGAGACAAACTTTGTGATAAAATATGGCCTTATCTGAGAGATATGTTCTCTCCCTGGTTAATACCCTATTCAATGCAAAATCTTAAGGAAAACATGGCCTCCTGGATACAGCAGCTGGCAGATGATCGGTCGGTACTATTACCTTGGATTCCACCCGATGCTGGATTTGCTCAGAAAATGCTTGGTGCTTTTCGAGAATGCATATCATTCATAATCCACACGTTACCAGGTAATATAACTTGTATGGAGTTTTTCATTGATTGTTGTAGGAATTTGTACCTTCCACAATCCGAATAAAAATTTTGATGGATGTGAAGGACAAACCTGACCAAGTAACATTGACGACATCTATGGGATCAACAGAGAAGTCAATCCTCGAATATCAAAGATAAACGAGGCTCACAGGCAACTGAACGCCTTGGGGAGCCTTGTTGATCTTTGATATTCGAGGATTGATTTCTCTGTTGATCCCATTGACAGCGTCTTCATAAGGAACGATGTCGTCGACCTTACTTACTTAGACTTGTCCTTCAAGGAGAGTTGATTCCTGCAACACATTTGTGGTTTAGCCTAGCACCACCGATGTGACCTATAGCAGGCGAAACAACGCTATCTGGTGTTAAATCACAAATGTCTTGAGGTTGGGCCCTGGTTTTCAACTAGTTGCCTTTCAGTGAGAGATGCAGTGAAAGATAGAGAACAACTCTCATCGCTGGTCAATGTTGAAGAGTGGCTTTGCAACTGATTGCCTTGGGGGAGCCTTGTATATCTTTGATATTCGAGGATTGATTTCGCTGTTGATCTATAGAGGGCGTCTTCGTAAGGGCTTTCTACTACTCCATCTTGATAGAAAAAAAAATGTGGGAATCTTCCCAAGAAAGGAAGGACGTAATCAATTTTAAAAGAAATTACTTCATACATAGACGTGCCAAAAACTTTGTTCCCCAAGAATTAGTCACTCCTAAAAATATAACCCTTTCAATTCAAACAAGATTCCTTTTAGCTGGGATTCAATCAAATAGGTGAATGAATGTCATTACGATGTCATCGATGACATAAGTAGATCAAACTTATTCTATGACATAAAAATCGTAATTTATGAATGAATTGTGTGTTTTTCTCATAATGTTATCCAGATTTGTACTGAAGAGCCCTAAGGCAAGTGTCTTACGGCGAAACATCGATGTCTGCCAGTGAGGATGACAGTGTTCCATGTAAGTGAAATTTTTACCTTTCATTTAGTATATTGTGTAGAAATCCTGGGAATGATATCTGATATAATTCCATAACGAATGTTTGGAATACAAAATGAGTAGAGAAAAGTGTTTTCGTATAATTTACTGTTCATATGTATCCCTATAAATTGAGACACAGACTTCGAACTAATCAGTCTAGTTGAAAAAACCAGACATCACCAGAAGATGGCAAATGAGACTTTGCCGAAACGTTGTGAAAATAATCCTTATGGGGATAAAATACACAGAACACGGAGCGAAACCCGTGTACCTATTTGACTTTGTCGCCAATGACGTAAAATATTGCCCAATTCAATATTCATTTACGCATTCGATATCATTTTATTCATTTGTTTTTTCTATTTTAGCATCTAGTAGTATTTTGAGCCACCTCTGGCAGTGGTATGTCACAAGTTATGCCCATAATTCTGTCAAGGAACACATATTGTTACCTGTTCATCAGACTTTTCTAACTTTTCCTTGGCATAATTTTTGGCCTTCCGTCAATGACCTTGAACTTATGCTTAGGGTGAGTACTTATGCATTTTTTATAAACAATTGTAAAATAAACCTCACTTATTAGGTAGTGGATCAGTACTTGCCTGATTGCCATTCATTCTTGGGACACATCTTCATGTCGGTTCCTTGGTCGAATTGGTTAAACAACTTTACAAGTGCCCCACTCCAGTTGAAAAGCAGAGTGTATCAGTGTTTTATAAATCTACTCGTGAAATTATGCAACGAGCCCAATGTTAGGAAAAACTATTCTGAACAAGCCAACTCATTACTGGTACAAGCTGAACACTTCGACTGGACATTCTTGGATGCTTCTATTTATCAACACGTTATGGATTGGTTTGTTATGAGCTGTGATTCGTCTGTGATTTTCAAAACTGACCCAGTAGATATAGATTACAGAGTTTTGAGGTGAGATTGCTAATATAAAAAAATATTTATATAAAAGAAATTTTGAAGGTAGGGTGTGAATTAAGAAAGGTCTCTAGTGAACTGTGAATCAATTTAGAATCGTCTCTGGGTTTCTAAATAAGTATCACACTTTTTTGATGAAGCTGAATATTTCATTAAATGACAGGGTCTACCTGGACTGAGAAGTTGGGTTTGCCCAACAACAATGAAAAATGGAGGAAAATTATATAACATATTGTTTGTTCCTTCGCAAACGTTTAGAAATTGTTGATTATCTGTTTTGGTAAAATATTCACGGTTGCAGTTTCCGTAGAGGTCTTGTAAGAACCGGACAGTTGGCTGTTGGTGAAGCCAACATTTGTCTCGAGTGCTACCATTGTCTTGGGTTTGACCCCATTATCAAGTATAGTAGTATTTACACAAAATACTTTTTATTCATTTCATTTAGGTTTCAAGACACTCTTGTTCTACGATCAATATGACAATATGACATAACCATCATCCAACTTGACTGTGTTCACAAGTTGCAAAAGTCATCGATTATAGTTATTATCTGAGATTGGTGAATTTCATCGAGTACCACAAACTTATCCCTAATTGCCAACATGGCTTAAGGCAGCAAAGATCAACTTCAACACCAATAAATGAACTTTGCAATAGCATATATACAAGTCTTAATAGCAAGCAAATTCCAGTTGGCTTATTTTTTGATTTAACTAGAGCATTCGATACGGTGAACCATAGCTTACTCCTGGAAAAATTAACTCATATATAAAATATAGAACACAAGTTGTAATGATTGATTCGATGAAGTCACATCATGCTTCTGTTACAATGGGAGCTCCGCAGGTTGCAACCCTGGCTCCTATTCTTTTTATACTCTTCATGAGTGATATAGAAAATTCAAATATGTCACAACAAAAAACAATAATCTATGCAGATGACACAACTCAAATGGTGGCACGAAACGAGTTATCTCTTTCCGTACAAGCAGCAAATGCAGTATCACATGAATTCTCCAAGTGGTGTAAAAATAATGGGTTAACAGTCAATGTCACCAAAACAGTATTTATGATTTTCCAGCGGAAAAACATTTCCTATAATTTTTGTCCTCTTATGAAAATGGATGGCAAGTCCATTGAGTATGTAAGTCACTTCAAATATTTAGGTCTAACCATCGATCAAAATCTAACATGGGAAGTACAAATAGAAAATATACTAACAAAACTGAACAGCAAATGTTTTATAATGAAACAATTATGTGGAACTGTCTCGATGTAAGTGCTAAAATTAATATATTATGGACTTGTGCAGTCTATTTTATCTTACAGATTGCCCTTCTGGGGAAACTAAGCTCATGCCATGAAAGCATTTAAACTCAAAAAAAAAGTGATAAGATGCCTAGCTGGACTTCAGTATAAAGAATCATGTAAGAACACATTCACTCAGCTGTCCATACTTACTCTTTCCTGCCTGTACATATGTGTAGTAGCTGTAAATANGGCAATTGTTGGAGATTCCAAAAATAATATTATATACAGAGTGTTCCATTTGAAAAATCAAAGTTGCTACTGCTTTCTAATAGAAGCGGCAACACCGCATTGTCGAAAATATTTTAGTTGGCTGGAGAATGTCCGAATATGCCTTCCATTAAATTTTCAAAGTGATCCGTTGTCTGGTTCACCAGAAACGTCTAATGTGCCATCCACCGTGAATCAGCCTGTATAGCCTAGTGCTCACGTTTGACTAGTCTGATAAAATTTTACAAGTGTTATGTAATGCAATGAAATTGTAACATTTTTAATGATGAATAAATTCTAATCTATTCTATTCTAGGACGAAACTGCAGTAATGTTATTCGTTAAAAGTGGTAAAAAAAATATTGAAAGTTTCAATCCTCATTTTTCATAATTTATAATTTCTTGACTTTTTGCTGGTGGATACATATAAATGTGTACAACAAATCATTTGGTCTTCATAAGATGCTTTTCATTTAGATGCTCTTCATAAGTCATATTTATTGACTGACAACTACTTGATAATTTCAGGTACCGACTGAGTTTAATAACATTTGGCAGTATAAGTACTGGTTATTGAAAGAGAATTTTTTTTTACAGCTTTGAAATGATATTCAAAGGTTGGAAATTTGAAAGTACTCGAGGTATTTTTCGATCAATTCACATTGTTAATGTGGCATCTATAACAGCAGTAATTTCATAAATTCAAAAATTATTTGCAATAGCAAAAATGTTGGTATCATTAATCTTTTTACAAATTACTATTCCAATTACCATATTGAAAAAATAAAATCAACCAATTAATGATAATCTGAGGAAAACTAAATTCCTAAAGTACTGGATTGTTTGATAAGTAAAAAACTTACATTCAAAATTGTGCCAACAAATAATAATTGATCAAAAACTAAAATTTCCATGCTCAACTCTCTTTAGATGATTGACATTTCGGAAAATAATCCTTTTCTGTTTTCAAAACCCAGAACTTTTTTACCATGAGAATCACACAGTTCATTATTACACATTCTTTTAGTCATGTAAGATTTGATCCAATTTATGAAGAATTGGTAGTAGTGACGAACACCGAAATTTTATATTTTATCCATGCAAACTGTATCGAATACCTTCGATAAATCAAATCAAATGAAAGCAAGTGATTTCAGGAGAAATTAGTTTCTGACTTTCTACTTCTTCAATAATAGATAAGTTCTCTACTCTCCGTATATGAATAAAGAAGTAGAAAGCCAAAATGGTTTTGATACTAAAATGAGAAACTATTTCAATGTATCATTCTGAGAAGTTGAAAATATATTTATAATTTCTATAAAATCAATGATTCTCCTTGATTAGTTCAAATAAAGAGCAAAACATATAAGGAATTTCAGCTGTTTTTTTGTTTACCTTGATGTGATCTATGGTTAGTTGAACATTTCAATTTTGTTAACTGGCAACTCGCTTTCTGTTCCAACATTCTACCATTTTTTTCTAATGATAAGTGTTTGAACGCCCCACTAATAAATATATTGAATTTCAGCTTTTTAAAAACTGTTGCCTCGTACAACAGTCAAACATCTACAACGCCAAATGAAACTTTGCCAAAGAGACTGATTTATATTAAGAGTTATATTAAATTACTATCAGTGTACAGTAATAGAAACAAAAATAACATTTCTAGAAAGGAGCGGGATATATATCTCCTCATAACAAGGCAGCTCAATGATTTAGAGTGTGCAGTAAGTAATGAGGAAGAGATGTTACTGTTACTTAGAGAACTAGAATGTATTTTAAATATTGACAATATCAGTAAAGCGTCTCTTGGAGCGTTTATTAAATGGATTGAAAACAAACCTGGAAATGGAATTATTGTTAAATCTCTGTTGAGAACCTTAGGATCGGCTGTGAAAGATTATGAAATTCTTGGTGAGGTGTTGGAGGTTACTATCAACAGTTACTTCTTAAATATAGGTGAGGAATCATAGTGATAAACTGATGTATTGAAGTTAACTTTGATGGCTGTAGTCTTACAGTAATTTAAAAATTGTTAGTGTTACTGTCTATTAATACTATTATATTGTAGTTAGATACTTATTAACAAGTTTAAAATACAGAAATCGTCCGAATAATCATTATTACCAAAAAATTGATTTGTTTTATTGATATTTGAGATTACTTTGTACCTAATGTGTTGGAATATTCAGTTTTACTTGCACTGTTAGCTTGATAAGGTATGAATTTGAATAAATGTCGAAATGTACACTTGTACCTAGATATTAAAAAACAAAAATATAACAACATATAACCTTGAAGAGTGATAACTTTCACAGTCGGGAATAACTATCTAAGTTATTTTCTAGGTTAGGTTAGGTCTGAGGGTTATTATGCCTGACGTTTCGTCTACAACTGCGTAACTATCAAAGATGAGACATTGGTCGAAGTGCTCTAGTTACCCCTCACAGCACACCTTTGACAATGTCTACTCAGCTGCAGACGAAATTTCAGACATAAAAATCTGCAAATTGATTTTTTATTTTCAACATCGATAACCTTAAAAACTATCTGCTGATCTGATATTTGATATTGAAGGGTTTTCTGATTGCATTTCAAAATTTTGAAAGTAAGCAGGTAAGCAAAGAGGTAGAAAATGTAACAAGAATAATTTTGTTCAAATTCGTTACTTGTGTGTTATTTTCTATTCTGAAAATATTTTTTTAATTTTGTTATTTTATTTCAGTTTCAGACAAGTTTGACACCACTTGGAGGGAAGTCTCAGAACTATTGAATATACTGGTATCAAAACAGACTGAATTAGAACAAGCAATTCTGAATAAGGGTTGTTTATTAACACTTAATGCCATTTTTATACAAAGAATAACCAAATACAGCGACACCGAAGCCTTATTGAATTTATGTCTTGATTGGATGATGCGTATAAAAATCAAGTAGGTAATGTTAAGAGGGTTTCAGAATTGTCAAACCAAGACTAATTTATGAAAAATACGATATTCGGCGGCCTCTATTAAACTTGGTCTAGGTCTTACTGTTTTAATTTTTTCAGCGATTCAACAGAACAAAAAATGCCACTGATTTGGTGTGGATTCCTTATGTTGGTCTTACAACATTCTCAAAAAGATGAGCCCTATTGTGCCGCCGTCTTGCACAAGTTTTCTCAAATATTGTTACAAATATCTGAGGAAAAAGGTGCCAGCAAATGGGGCAGAGGATTGTTGAGTGCTATCGGTCTGAGCAGACAAGGATTGTCGGTCCATTTTAAATTTATTTGTCGAGCTTTAGCAGGTATATCATTGGGTGAATCAAATAATTTGAGAATTTACGAAGATTTCATTTTAGGTTATGTTTTGGCTCAGCTTCCAGAAATGAAAGGAGAGCCCCAGGTGATCAGAAAAGAGCCTAATGCACCTGCCAAAGTAGGTCAGTCAGGCGGAAATAATGAATGTGTGAAAGTGCTCCTGACCCTGGACTTTGGACATTCTCAGGGAAAAATCAAGGATTGTGCAGAATTGGCACTCAAGCAAGTAAGTATTTTATAATAATGAGAAACCACGAATCAAATTTGTTTTGCTACTTTTGAAGATACAGGAGAGACATAAATCACGTGTTCTACAGTTTTGGGTTCGAATATGTGTAAATTCATTTTAATTGAATGGATAGGGTGAAAATACTACTTCACAATTTACACAACACCAACATTTAATGATAACAGCTGTTTCGACATACTGTGCTATCTTCTGAGCGAGTTATAAAACAGCTGTTAGCATTGAATGTTAGTGTTGTGTAAATTGTGAAGTTATATTTTCACCATACCCATTCATAAATCATACTAAATTGATGAAAATCTATTATATGTTATAATATTTAAATAAAGCTTTATTGTGAAATTTTCACATAACAGTTTACGAAACCACAAGTGTTTCACTTTACAATAAGTTTTCCAAACATGTTCGATCCTATATTTCATTACCTTCTTGAGCGATCTGAAGAGGAAATGTGCTACAGTTGATTAAATCTTTCTCTATGTGGATGGTACAAATATCCTAATGTCAACTAACCAAAAAGCTGATACTGCTCTAAAGAATTAGAAAATAACTGTAATGACAAATATCTTTCTTAACATAATTCCATACATACTCGTATATACTCCATTTGATTTCTGAAAAGTACCTGGATAGATTCCAATCTGTACCTGAATGTCAATCGAAAAACAATAGAAAGGAAAGAGTGTTTGAAATTTCTAGGTGTAGTACTGTATAGGTAACTAACGTTCATACAGGTCTCTTATTGGATGTTTATCATATTCTTTTGGACATGATGGCTGCCTCCTGTGATCCAGTGCTTCACATTCATACAAAACATGAGCTGTTTTCTATGCCTTTGTTGCATGGTCTGCAGTTGAGGTCTTCGTTGTACAGCCCTACTCTGTTCAGATGTCCTCTCAGTGGCAATGTTCAGTGAGTAGCTGTCTAAGAACATTTTTCTGAGCCGATCTCTGCTGTATATAAGCAGTTCCTCCTTGTATTTTCAGAAAGGTCTTTTATGAAGGTTTTCTTAAGTGTGTTCTCGGGTATTTTTTCCCAGTACACTTTGTTTTTTATAAACTCACTTCCCAATCTGGTTTCTACCAAAGATTTTGGTACTTTCAAAGCTTGTTCAAGTCCTACATATTGAATTGATGATCTGTATCTAGCACACACATCAGCTTTTTGGTTGCCCATCCAAATTCTGGCATCCAATATAGTCAAAATATTTATGTCCTCCAGTTTATTCAGTTTTTCGAAGCATTTTCAGACCAGTCTTGATGTCACTTTTGGGTTTATCAGTGCCCCAAATGCAGGCTGACTGTTCTTTGAGGCCTCAAATTATTGTCTCTGCGCATAATAAGATTGCACACATTTCATCCTGGAAAATTGATGAGTGTTAACTGAAATCTCAATAAATTCCAGATCCTGTCCCATAATCAGTTTTTGTCCGGTCTGTTTACCAGGTGTTTATCATTTTATGACTTTAATCACGAGTTTTGACATACTCAGAATATTATATTTTGGGCTGGCCCAATCTACCATACAAAACAGTTTAATTTACTATGTATCCTCAAGATACCATTTCGATTTACGAAAAAACTATAAGAATACTGCATATTGGTCTTATAAATTTCTATTTAGAAAATCATCAATAATGGGTGAATAAAATAACAATCAAGAAATGAAATACATGTTAATCATAACTTATAATAGTCCTAATCCTAATATATCCTGTTCTATCCTACTGTTCTATTGCTAAACAGTTGAGTAACACAACACAGGACAGTCTTATATTATATGACACTGACCTTAATGAATTGTTCAAAACACTTCATGACATTAAAAACAAAAACACGGCCGGATATGATGATATTTCCATTAAGATTCTTTTGAATTTACCACTCAATGCTCTAGAAACTTTGGTCGCTCTTATTAATACCTCATTCAGAACTGGCTCATTTCCTTCTTCCCTGAAGACTTCCGTTGTCATTCCACTACATAAAGGTGGTGATTTAGATAATCCCTCCAATCTGCGTTGTATTTCCTTAATAACGACTTTAGCAAAAATTATTGAGAAATTAGTCAAAGTACGTTTAGATGAATTCTTAAAACTGCACTGTATTATAAGCAACAACCAGTTTGGGTTTCGGACGGAAAAAGATACAAATTATGCTATCTTCTCTTTTGTATATAAAATTTACTCTGAATTGAATGCTGGTGAAGTTTCTTCATAATGCAAGACAATTTGTATTTCTTCTTGTGAGGCAATTTTATACTAAACCATATTTGAAGGACATTGGATAGTTTGGTATATGTAAAAAACCGTTGTTACATATGTTACTTTTGTGACTCGAACAATGGAAGATGTCAGATTTTATTTACTTTATATCATCTACATACTGTGAAGTTTGAGTAATTCATGACATTTCATAGAATAAAGCCATGTCACATGAGATGAAAGCTAGGGTATAATGTTAGAGCTGAATTAATCAGAAGGTATCTTTCCAGCAAATTATTAGTATTTGGAAAAATTATAATCATGATTTAAAATTTACTAGTTAATAAATAATGTATGAAATTATTTGTATAATTTTATATATAGAATAAAAATATGTTTAAATACCCTTTTATTATATATTAATTACAAAAATGGTAATTTCATTCCATGACAATAAAGTTATTCGAAAGTTTGTAATTTTGTAGTGTTCATACAAAAATATTTGAGATTACATATTCCTCATATGTATGTAAATACATATTTTTTCAAATGGTTAAATGATATGCGAGAAAAACTACAGGATTTCTAGATTGGAATCAAATTAATTGGTACATTCAGAGTGTGTTTCAGATTTTGAAATGGTTCTAAAATTTCACAAGAAATCTACTAGTATGTATCATTCAAATAACATCTTTTTTGGGACCAAATGTAGATGCGTTTGCTATTTTCATGTATTTGTAAAAAGTTTTTTCACATGATTGATTAACCATAAGTTTTGTCGCAACTAATATCTCGGATGGGTATTTTCAACATAATTCAGTTCTATGATAGGAAGCCGTATTTTATATTTCCCACAATTGACAATGATGAAAACTTTATACGTATTTTGGTGATAGAAGTACCATTGTAACTTATTGTTGAATAAAGTTTATTTTACACTCAACCACGTGATTTATTATTTCACATAATATATATTTCTCTTCGATTTGCATCCTTTCACATGAAATGCACTATTACGTTTTAGGTATGCAGATAAAATGCTCCACTCACTAACATCAACTCTCATATGCAATGCTTCATTTATGTCTTCATCTCTGTTTGTGAAAATGGAAAATTGAAATTGAACATTTTTAGCAACTGTTTTTTCTTCAAAATTAACTGCATGCAAGGGAAAAAAATCCAGGCTTCAACTTTGAAAATCAACAAGGTTTTTATATAAACCTTGAAAAAATTGTTAACCCATAACTCATCTAACAAATACATACAGAAATATTTCCAAATTTATTGAAAGTTCAGATAATAAAACTATTTTTTGAAGAAGACAAAAGTGATATGAAAAACTATCGACCAGTTATACTCGTATCAATTTTAAATTATTATTGAATGAAAAATTATTTTGTTCTTCATCAAATTCTTGAATCTGAATTCACTCTTGATTATAGTTCTTATATGAAGTGGTGTAGCTCTTTTTCCTGAACTTTACAGAACTATCTGATTGATCTGAGGTGACACAGTGTTGAACAATATTGCTTTCAAGTGTGTTATTACGGTTGATAGATCCTTTCGAGTGCTGATTGATCAACAATATGGCTACCCTTGATGAGTTGAGTTTCCGTTACCTACGTTAGGTTTCTTTTCAGGCCAAATTTGTTATAACTTTTTCCCTTCATAATATAATTGAAGTGACACTTTGAGCAACTAAGTATGTTTGATTTGTGTCAATCGCCTAAAAAATGTTGAGGATATATAAAAGCTATCTATCTTTATTTATGACTAAAAATCCATATTTATCTTCCGAACATTTTGTTTTTTGAAATTGCTCAAATGTCACATCAGGTGACAGGAGATCAGAATGAATGCGGCTGAGGTTCACATCAACTTGTCTAAATATCACAACGGCACTGGAGAATATGTATGGAATAGATTGAAGGAATTCACAGTTTTATGACGATATCACTTAATGTATTCTCGTTGTTTCAGAGTGTCCTTATAGCAGAAAGTAGTGAATAAGTATTTGAAGAATCTAATGTTCAATGGCATTGGTGGAGAGGTAATCGAAGATTACATACAACTCACAAAAATTTGCAAGTTATAGAATTGTTTCCAGTTCAACAACTGCAGCACAAAGGAGTGGCATTGGAAAACTCACTGTCCCCCTTCATAGCTAATCGATTCATTTTACATATATATATATTTACAATAAGACATGTTCTTTCTCTTATCCTCTGATGTTCCTTCACTTTCCATTTGATATTTCTCCAACATTTACTTCGATAGATAAGGGTAGACGGGATGTAAAAAGAGCGTCAGGTCTACTTCAATCATCTGCTGGCAATATTCATATAAATTGATCACTCCAGAGCCATATTTTTTACAGATGAAGGCTGTGACAATAAGGTCATAACGTATGTCTCGACTCCAGAACTCGATGGACTTCATCAGCAATAGAGCAGATATTGATGCATAGTTTGACGTATGCGACGCCTTTCAGCTTATGTCGTTCATTTTACAAGGCATCATTGCTTTGTCAGTATCCAAACATGTCGCTTCTGGATAATGCCCGCTTTCACTATTATTGAAATCATGCTGAAACGGAATAAAATAAATATTCTGGCAAATTGAATTTAACCATGTCTTAGCACCGGAAAATTTAGAGAGTTCTGTCCAATCTATGTGATCATGAGTTTAATTTTTGATAAGTTTATATTCTCAAAAATTTCTTTCGGAATTGTTTGGTAACTTATTTTGGAAGCCATACTTTGGAAATAGTGTCACAACTCTCATCCACCAGGACACATATTGCAAAAAT